CTTAAACTACTTACCCTGGAGAATATAATGTTGCTTCCAAACCTCTTCAACAATGTCTATATTCTCTACAAAACATAACCAAGAATTTCATTTCCCAATCTGATCCAGTTTACTGGAAGAAATGAGAGAAGAGACAACAGAAAACCGACCTTCCCTCCAAACTCTGTGGTGATCCAATGTGGTCAAGGTTTGACTCCGTATCTACTTATGCATTGTTCTTCGACAACCTCATAGTCATTTGATAAGAACTCAATCACTTTCCTATCAAGAACAGAGTAATTATAATGGAATTTCAGAGAAATCTATCTTCAATCTCCTAAGAGAAACAAGCCCAAGCCAAAAAGGCTTAGCCTTGAAAAGTTTACAGCAGGTGAAACCAATAAGAACACAAAGGATTCATGAACAATTGTCTCTTTATTAAGAATCACTTAAATAATCTTTTCCAAAGACTTGTCTACTCAGAATTACACAACAACACGCGGCTTGTCACATGCCAATTCCTCATCTACCCTTTGCGTGAACCAACCCATATTGATAACGTTTACAAATCACTCAATTCCCCGAAACCCAAAAACTCATGTTTGTGTTTCTGTGAGAATTTAATGTTGAAAGCTTGACCTAATCCTAAATCTAAGCTTTCCTATACATTGCTACCAATTTTAAATTGTGCAATATCTCTTTTCCTATAAATCAGCATCACCAAATCTTCCAAGTTGTGATCTGAAGATCTTCTAGTTTGTGAATCACGTCTAAACAAGATCAGCCAATGGGAAACTCTCTATGTCATCACATTTTAGTTCCTTCTGTCCATGTCGATGTGTTACATATTATCGTCCATGTGTAACACAACAGCAACACGCCAAAATTCAACATTTTTTGAATATGTCCGAGCTATACTCCAATGAACCATGTCAATCAACACTTTCTCTGTGTCAATACACCAGCACGCCAAGCTCCAAATCATTGTAAGAGCCAACTAACTCTCTTATATATATTCTTCTCTTTAACGTAACCGCCTTCTCTTCTTTTTATTGTGCAGGTACCAGCTCCTTCCCACGTGTCTTGTATCATATCACATTTTCCTACAGTGGGAACATGCTCTGGTTTGAGAAGCTCATTGGCATCACCATCTCCGTACATGCCTGTTTCCACTCAGTGACTACATTCTGTTATTTATAGTTTCAGAACAAATTCATCTTGTGTTATGCAGATTGCAAAATCCATTGGAGGAAAGATTTTAAACTTTATTCAGTCATATTTATGAGGGTACCTGCCGCCCCAAACCGTGGAGACCATGATCATCAGTTGGTTGTTCAAGCTCAAAGCATTTTTCTGAACCTGAATAGTTTTAGTATAATCTTGCATCAGCAAAGGAACGATCAAGTTTACTTGATCCTCGAAGGGTTGGGTTAATGATCTTACACATTTGATCCAAAGCTAAACTGGTAAAAGATTACTTGATTAACCTTACCCAATGTCTCAGCCGTCTTATGCGACTTCTTACTAAATGGTGTTGATTCTCCATACGTGTAGATCCTTCAAAATCTAAGTTTGACTTATCGAGATCAGTCCTTAGTCACTACACACATGGCTATGTATTATAGCTTGTTAGACTTCATGTGACTAAGAATCTCTTATATATTATCATAAAATAGACGATTATCATCATAATTTCTTTGTTATGAGTTTGGGAACCCATGGAGATCAAAATTTGCATATGATCCAACACGAGCCCTTGGTCAATAGTATATTTCAAGTATCAAAACAATCTGTGTAAGGTCTGAGGATCATGATGAAAGTCATCTAGTGAAGCCGAAGACAACTGAGAAAGTTTGGAAATCATAAACGCAATATCATATCTAGTAATGGTCAAATTAATATTAAAGGTTACTGGATCCAATGAAGAAATGAGTCGCTAAAGACAAATGTACATCTTACTAAGATTTTCATCTTTTAGTACAAATGAAGAAAAGGGTCCCTAAAAGCAATAACCACTTGTATTCTCTCCTTTTATCTTGTGTTTGGAATTGAACTTTCATCTTTGCACAAGCCTATTGTATTTTCTTTCAAACTTATTTAAGATTGGTAGTTTTCTCTTCTTCTAAGCCCACATGAATAATGTATAGTGATGGTGATTCTGTTTTAGAAAGCTGTTTTGCTTTTTGAACCCAAACCTTCGTACTGGTTGTACACCATTCTACTTCCAAGTATTAGATCATCTCCATTAGGGGATCGTAAGGGGTTCAAGGGGGGGGGAGGATCACACGGTTTTCGAGGTAAAAATGGTGAACCCGCATCGTTAGAGCTCGTCGTGGTGAACCCGCATCGTCACGGGATCGCCACGTGGCAGGCCCTGATTCGCCCAATTTTTTTTTATTTTTTGAAAAAGTCAAAAAAAAAAAAATTAAAAAGCTATCTTAGGAACTCGTGCCCATCGATTTCGCTGATGTACATGCTCTTAAATGTCGGTTGTTAACCCCAAAACAGCACACGTGGCAAATAATGTCTAAAACCTCTAATAAAGGAGAAAAAACCATCCATTGGTTTCCTCAAATGTAATGTCGGATCTTCGTGTGTGCATTCAAGCCATACTGCGGGTGCTTCTTGGATCCTGCGGGATGAAAAAGGGTTCACAATCTTGCATAGCCATCGTGCTTACTCATGTATGCGCTCAAAGACAGAAGCAGATTTGTGGGCTCTCTTTTGGGCAGTCGATTGTTTGCATACTCTACATTTCTCAAATATTATTTTTGAGACTGCCTCTGCAACCCTACATGATGCTCTTACCACGACGAATAACCTTAGCCTCAGCCATATTCGTCACAGCATTTACTTCCTCCTTGCAAAGATTGATTCGTGGAGTTTGGATCACGCCCTTCCCGAACGCAATGAAGCTGCAGCGGCAATTGCTTTGAGCGTCACGCGTGACCTTCGTCATCAATCGTACATCGCCCGTAAACGCTCCGGTGTGGCTTCATCATCTACTCGCGTTGGAGGCTCAGCAATGAGGTTTTGATGAGACCCCTAACATTTTGTTTTGGTGTCTATTGACATCCTTTTGTATCTCTGTTATTCCCTATTCTATTTTGTTGAACTCCTAAATTAAATCAGTGTTATAAAAAAAAAAAAAAAAAAAAAGGAGAAACGCCTATATGGCTGAAAGTAGAGAGAAAAAATCTCTACTGGTATGAGAAAAGCTCCCCTTCGGAAATATTTTAATATCAACGTGACATTTATATAAGGGAAATTGGGTTGTATAGCGGTGAAAAAAACACTAATTAGCTAGATAGCCACTTTCCCTAATACACCTATACACAACATGACTTTTATATAATAATGCATTTTTACCCTTGTACAAACCGGTGAAACCTGCATATTAAAAATTAATAATTATAACATATCAAAAGTAAGTCGTGGCTCTTCATTATTCACATATTTTTCTTTGTAACTTTTAGTAATTCGTGACCCTTTAATATTCATAATCTTATTTAAAAGTTATAGATGAGGTTATAATCTTATAATATTTCGGTGATATGGAATAGAATACTCGGTTATATAGAATAAAATATTCGATGCTATATATGTGGTTAATAAATAGATATGTAGATGACTTTACTATAAGAAAGACGTTACCTATTTTCCCAATTACAACTGAAAACCTTTTAAGAATGAGGGGAGAACCGGATAAAATGAGGCACAAATGTCTGACATTAAATTATGTCAACATCACTGCTACTCACTTAATTTATCTCCCAAATATAGCTATTACACCAATTAGCCCTTTATATAATGGTACATCACGGTTTGCTGCTTAAGATTAGTTTCCTTATTATTATTATTATCTTGTTAATAATACGTACAAGTAGGATTATTATGAAACATTCTTCACCTTCACAATTTCTGGATCTATCTCTTAAGAACGAAGGATGATTTCAATTAATGCTTGATTTCGCCAATACGCATAAGATTAAGAGTCACGTAAACTTTAAAACGAAAAAAAAATTGACCAAATATCAGCGTATCTTAAATTACGTACGTACGTGGCCTAATGAACTTCTCATGAAATACAATATTAAACATATTATACCTGCTTTCACGACTTTTTAACATCCACGTGATTATATATACAAACACAAAACAATCAATGTCACTATATATTCATTTATGAATTTCATATTATATACTCAATCGTTCTTATCAGTAATTGAACCACTTGTCATGCACAGATAAACATTGCGGCTTTATGACGGAGATCCATAACTCGTGATTATTGTTTTTTTTATCTGCTGATTGTTATTTTAATCAAAATCTTTGAATCTATCCTCCAAGATACATGTTTTCAAATATTCATTTGTATTATTAGCTTCTATAATTGTACTTTATTTATTACTACTGATGTATAAAATTAGAGGATGGACAAAAAACAAATGTATGTAAAAAGGGAACTCACATGGCTTGTGGGAGGGTCCTGGCAGTGATTAATTATTATGCCTTCGCTTAGGCAATCATAGCTATATGGAACCTTATTTTTTCTTAGTTGTCAAAATTAATTGTTTTATTATCTACTTATATACCTCTACTTTCTCATGAATCTCAACAGACTACATTTGATGTTTTGTCTCTATTGCTCTAGACTTAAATATTCTATCCTGGAATAAGTTCCAGTTTGATCAATATATTTTACCTGCAAAATCTTATAATATTCCATGCAAAAACCAAAATATTCAGTCCAGATAAATAATAATATAAAATTTGCTAAAATAATTGAGGAAAGGCTGCCCATGTGGGCACTTCCAAGTAATCTCTGGAATCGATGCTTAAAATACATTGGATATTTACGAAACAACACATATATGAACAAACAAACACCCACAAAAGAAGATCAGAAGACCATATCTTTGTTATATACACACAACTTCTCTCTTTTTAGCATCTCTTGTCTCCATCTTCTCCACTTTCTGGTATTTCTTTTCTTTTGTAATCTCTTGTCTGAAAAGGAAATGGATCATTTAAGTTCAAGTGAATCACTTATTGAAGATCTTCTAGAAGATTACTGGTTCTTTGACAACTTATTTACCAGGAGATCGAGGGTCTTAAGGTATTGTCACTCAGATCCTTACCCTTCTTCTTCTTCTTTGACATCTCCTGAAAAAATGGGAGGTTCGGATGAAAGGAAGTCTTTACAAGTCTCAACAAGGCGATGTTTGATCAGGGCAGCTTCTATAGATGAAAAAAAAGGCGAGACAAAGCAGTTCTCTGAAAAGATTAGGGTTCAAGAACCGATACCAGATGGATCTTTCTTGCGTAAAAAGGAACCTATGGTTCTTTCCAAATCCGGATCTCATTCAGCTCCAGGGAAGATTCAAGAAGCTTCCACAGAGCACAGTTTGATCCGAGCACCTTCTTTGCCGCCTCGGATAGAAAAAAGAAAAGTGGATCAGGAGGCAAAGAAGATGATTAGTAAGCTGACACGGCAGTTCTCTGAGAAGATTAAGGTTCTAGAACCGACTACTATGGGTGACAAATTCTTGCAGAAGAAGAAAGGGAATAGTGAAAGAAACAGAAGAGAAGGTGGTAGTAGTAGCAGTGTCAAAAATAGTTTGCAAAGAACCCAAACGATGCCAAATAACATGAGAAGAGAAGATGATGGATGTGAAGATCAAGAAACCGACTCAAGAATGGGATTCTTGATCCGTGAAGCCCTCGCTAGCTCTCAAAATGTTCCAAAGGTAAACAAATTATCTACTATTTATGTTAAACAATGGTCGTTGAAAACCTGAAAAGCAAAATAGAGTTTCAAACTTGATGTAGGTTTCAAGCAATCAAAGGCAGAGACCACCTAGACATTTGAGATCAGAAGAAACAGTAATGGTCAAACAAGGAAGCTCAAGTCCCAAAACGCTGCGTAAAACGGTAAGCAGCATAGAAACAACCAAAGAGATTCAAACGCTGAAAGGTTATGATGACAAGCTGGTCGAGCCACATGGATTAGCTACACCACCTAGAGTTCCAAAGGATTCAAGGAAAGAAATGAAGGATCAGATCAAGTTTTGGGCTCGAGCAGTAGCTAGTAATGTCAGACAAGAGTGCTAAAAATTGTTTTAATTACACTTATTAACTGTGTTTGTTGTATGACAATATTCTGTACATATGATTCTTATCTTCCAACGCTTCTGTGAACTTTTTTCTTTCTGAACCTCCTGAAATAATGAGATTCCTCTGTTTATGTGATGATTATGTTCTTTCTTTTCTTTTCGGGAGCAAGAAGAAAGTAATGATTATCATGAAGAAAAGGAGATGTTAGAAAAACAACAAGGAAGAACATTATAATAATCAAATCTATATTGAAAACCAAAAGAAAGAACATAATAATTTGTGATTTGATTGCGATTTGTGCAGAGTCTCCTAGAAGTATTCGAATTAAAAATATTCATTCGATTTTGGTAAACATTACACGTAAAATACGTTGAATCATGGTGAGTTAAATACATATATAAATGTAATAACGTGGAACTAACTAGATTGAACCGGTTCTTGATTGCAGGGATCTCTCGTAAGACCAAAACAATGATAATTTTATTCATTTATTCAACTTCAATAATTTAGTATTAAAAACTAAAATTATTATAACTGAAAATCATTTTGAAAGGATTATTAACGCATATCAGTTTGCATAACCAAAAAGCGATTCAGAAATTGCACAAAATGATTCCATAACATGTGACCGTTAACTACGGGTACTGTTAGGATGTGTAATTGCTACCTTCCATTTTACTATCTTTGCGACCCAATCGTCTTACAAAAAGAGAAACACATTTAACTAACAGACAAATCTCACCAGACTTTAACACTTTATCAGATGACAGAAAACAGTAGCTTAGATCAAATCAGTAAGTAAAATAATGAAGAAACTATGACTTTTCGAAAGCATAATAAAAGAAAAACAATAGTAAAATAAAGAGATTATTTGCTGCAGCACCATAAATCACCTCCTAATTAATCAAATGTCCATAATTTGACTTATTCTATTTTATTGATCAAAATGTCCATGATTTGACTTATTCCTCATGCTTGTTTTCCCGATGGTGAAAAAACACAACCTAATCTTGTCCTTCACAACCCCTTTAGAGATAGACACCATAGTAGCCATTGTCGTCCCAACCATTCTTGGCAAGATAACCAACTTTGCTGCAATTGTAACCTAAAAGCTCGAGCGCAAATCAATTCCGATCAACACGTCTTCACTTTCCGGTGAGACTTTCATTGCTGATCAATCTGGAGTTCTTGGTTCGTCAAACCGTCCATGCCTATCACCTTTGACTTTTTCCTTGATAGTGAAGCTTTGATGCAATTCTGAAAGAATCTTTGCATCTTCTGGCATACTCCTCCGATGCCTGAACCTTTGTAATCTCAGGTATTATGATGCTTCTCTTCATCTCCTTGTAATGATGAATTTAGCTTGCCCCTTTATTCTGAGAATCAGACACTTATGTGAAATGTTAAAATTCAGATGTTTTCTTGCTACAAATTCTCCGATGAACCTCCGCATCTCCTCAGCTGTGCTGATAACTCTAGGTAACTTCTTTTTACCTGTATTAACTTCTCAAACCCGTATCCCTTTCGACTCTCAGAACCCAGAAATCATAATTTGTATGATTTCTACTTTTCAGCTTTCTTGGACGAGCAACAGACATGTTTCCATCTACTGCAGTTTCATCTTCTTGCAGCATCTCCAGCTGCTTACTTCTCTGTTGCTCCTGATGATCCACGTTCAGTATCTTCAGATTTCAAGTAATATATTTTTCAAAACTCTTAGACTGATATCTTGCCTTGTCTCTTTGAAAGTTAGACTCAGAAACTTTTACTTGTGCAGCTACTCCACCTGAAGCAATTTCTTTTACTTTTCCTGTAGCTACTCCACCTGAAGCCAATATCTCTTCCCCATAGCGTTGTACCCTTCGTAGGTAACCTTCTCAAAACCTTATATTGTTTGTTTTTCCCTTAACAAACTATCCACTAGACCTCTTTCATGACTAGTCCTAAGATCATGAATATGTTATAGTGATTAAATAAATCCTTTGACCCCTTGCAACTTGATTCCATTTGATATCCTTTTGATTCTTATCATGTGCACTTGATCTTAGAATCAAACCCTTCTTGAGTCTGTGGCATTAAACATAACCATACATGCTTTAAACATTAAAGCAATCCCTGATTCAAAACCCTTGTGCCTTAAAAAATGTTGTCTTGTACTCCTCTTTGTACCGCTGTTATCCCAAACAGAACACGCCATCAAGCTAACCTGCTAGATAGACTTTTGACACAAACCGTAATCCTAACTTCTTGTTTAGACAGACCTTTTCTAACAGTCTTGAACCTCACTGCTAGTTTCCTTTTAACTTGTCTCAGGCCAACTCCTCCGGTGATGTTCTTAACACTTCTCTTTGTAACAGTTCTCCTTGATATCACTTAGACCCCATGATACCATTCTTAGCTGAATAACCATTCCCGCAATACTTGTTGTTGTATCGCTAACACCCCAGGTTTTGGTGATTGCATCACAACAGCCTTTGGACTTACCATCAGATTTATTCTGATTATCAATACCATATAACATGTCTTTGATATTGATCCTTCCTCATGTGATTTTAATTTCCTTGTCCTTAGAATTTCTCCAATTCTCTTCTTGTGATGCCAAAAGAAAACAAGTATAACCATACATGTTTCTCACTTTCCACACACACTCATCCTCCTTACTTGAATGCCTTTTTTATTTAAGAACACAACTTCTCGTGTTTCTTTTGTATTCATTCCCTTTTTTGTTTTCAGAATCTTGCCTTCTTCCATCTCGGAACCTTCCCCATGCCCTTGTCCACCTCAGTGTTTTCTTTGATGATACTTTCTTCAGCCTCCCTCAACTCCTCTCTAAGTAAATCATCATCATTTGAATTATTAGATTCAGCCTCCATCAAGCAAGCTGTATGTTGATCCATTGTATCCATATCGTTCAGTGCTCCAATCATTTGTTCCGTGTCATCAGTGTCTTGTTCTCGCAAAGACGAGAAAGAGAGTATTTTTGCAACGCCTTTGGTGCGAATTGTTATGTTTCGCTCCATAGAGGTCTCAACAGCAGTTGGAGTAACGATCGTACTAGCAAGCCTCCTCTGATATCTAGAATCATCATGCTTCTGTAGTTCGTTGTTCGCCAACCTAACATCTGATACCTGCTGTGGAATCTCTGATGGTTCAGCAGACACACGAGAAGTACCATAAGTTTTTGCTCTCCACCGCTTGTCACTTCCTCGACTATACGGACCTGCCTCATGCCTTGCTCCTCCAAACCTCCTTGATTTGTCTTCTCCACGCCGAGAAATCCTATCATCATGACCATTCCTGCGACCATTATCATTCCACAGCCGGTGTCTACGCACTTCCAACTTACTTTCTCTATCTCTTGAATTTCCTCGAGACATGGATGATGATCGTGCCCTAGAGTAACGGTCCCGCCTTTCCTTGTCCACATAATAAGATCCATTTTGCTGACTGGAACCGCGGTCAATGGCAAGGGAGGCAGGAGCGTTGTATTTGTGTTGCGGCGGAGGCACCTCCACGCGAGAAAAGACATGTCCCCGCGCTCCCGGTTCTTGTAGACGGGCCTGTATGTTGGTGGTGGGACAATATCCTTTTTCATGTGTTAACATTCCACATATGGTGCAATGTTTAAACAACATATCATAGTTTATTTCAGTTGTAACCCCATCCCCTTCAGGTGATTCTACCTTCCTTGAAAACTTAAGAGGCTTGCGTATGTCTATGAGCACGTGTCCCGTAGATAGCTCAATCGTGTCAACGAAGCCAAGTCTGCCTCCTATATTTCTCAAGTTTCTGTCTGTCCAGAGGTGCAAAGGCAACACAACAAACTGAACCCAAAAAGGGATAACCCAGGGGTAGTCGTCATGGAGAATTGGTTCCCATTGAACCAACACAAGCATACAAAAATTGTAGTGAAAAGGATCCTGTCGAAGAACAGAGTTTAGGTCATCCTCAAAAGTGAAATTCAGAAGAAAATTCCCATTACCAAGATCATTTGCAATGATTTTATCCTCCATACCCCCATTTTGTTGTCATTGTCTGGATAAGCTTATCCACCTTTTGTTTTTTTTGGGGTTTAGGATCTTTCCAATCAGCAATAGGCAAAACTCCAAAATCACATTAGCTCCATCATGATCCGACATTTTGATAGGTGCATCATCATCATCATGAGCCACACGGCCCACACCCTTCCCCTTCATATCCACCAGAGGAGCAGAGTTAAAACGAGCCATAGAACTCATATCGGGGGACTGTGCCCTATCATTGCAGATTGTGATGGAAACCGATACGCCAAGGAACGTATGATTATTGATGACGGTATGAGATCAGAGTGATAACATAGTCAGAGATCCAGAGTTGTTGATGGTGGAGAGATTGTCATATCAGAAGCTGTAGATTGGCTAATCAAAACGTCAAAGAAACGTTTCTGTGTGCGGAGATTGACGTAGCACAAAAGCGACTGACTGTGATTAAAAGATCAAGCGCATCACCCAAAGAAAAGTCCCGACAAAGATCAGGAACCAAGGTAGAGTATTTAGACCAATAAGCGTCGGGAGGAAAGGACGATCAACGGAGGAGAGGACGATCACTAGACACTACAAGAAAACTCGTCCATTACTAGGACGGGTTTTCCTCGTTATTTCCTAGTAAATGGCCATTTACTAGGAAATAACGAGGAAACACGTTCATCGTAAAGCCATTTTCCTCGTAACGTCCTAGCGAATTTACGAGGAAATGTTTCCTCGTAAAGGCGTGGTTATATTTTCCTCGTAAGGTCCTCGTAAGCTCGTAGTAAGCTTTTCCTCGTAAGATCGTAGTAATATATTACGAGGAACTTATTAGAACCTTTTACGAGGACATTACTTGGAAACCTTTACGAGGATTTTGCTTCGAAATGGTTTTTTCCCTATTAAAAAAAAATAATTATAAATAATTATTTTATTTTTTTTAAAATAAAAAATCAAACTATAATTAAAAAATAAAAAACAAAATATTTTATAAATAACTAAATAATATACAAAAAGTTTTTAAATTCATAATATACAATTAAAAATAAAAATAAAACTACGGATGCTGGTCGTGAAATTACTGAACGAACTCGTCGTCGTCCTGGCTCGGCAAATCCTCTCCATAGTTGGTTGCCGGCTATGACTGTGATGGTGGATGCTGTTGGATTGGAATCCCTCCACGTTCCCGTCTCTGACGCAACATCTCCTGCACATGCGGGTTTCCAACCGCCATAATGTCGAGGACCTCGGTGAGAGAAGTCACATGCTCGGTGAGCGAACTCACATGAGACTGCGTCGCCTGCAACTCCAAGCGCAGCTGAGCATTGACATTGTGCTGCTCCTGATGATAAGACGATGTCGCTGCAGAGACATCGTTAACCGAGCCAATCCCGATGATACGCCCCTTTTTCCTAGGGGCGACCTGTAAATAAAAATATTAATAACATTAAGAAAAAATTTAAAAAAATATTAAAAATTAATAGTAAAACAAATTATTTACCTCCTCGTAAATCTTATCCACGTCAACAGTGGATAATATGACTGGAGTCCCAGTCTGCTGAGTCAGCTGGGTCTGGCGTTCGTCAACTCGGGCTACAAGCTCGTTGTAGATCCGCTCGGAAGCAGGATCTACAAACTGCCCAGTCTTGTTCCGGTGGGTCCTCTCGTAAAGGTCTTTCAGAGATGGAAGAACTCCTGTCTCCTTAGCCTAAAATTAATTTATAAAATTAAATATTAATTTGTAATATTCAAATAAAATAAAAATTAAATTGTTATTAAAAATCATCTTACTATGTCTAGACGAACTCCCCCGTGAGGTTTTCGACCCGTGGTGTGAAGCACCTTCGTGTTGCCATGCTCGTCTTTGGTCATGCGGTTCCCGGAGTTTGTGTTGGAGGTTCTGACCGAGTCCGACAACCTCCAATAGCTGATGAGGCCATCCCACACCGTGGTTGTGAGGCAATCGGGTTTCCCGGCCTCGTAACCATCCACCTGATTTAAAAAAAAAAAAGAATTAAAGTCAATATATAATATTTTTAAAACTATAGATATATTATAATTTATAAATCTATACCTGGTAGTCGCCCTTCCAGTTGTAGACCATGTCGAGCAATCGTGCTCTTGCCTTGGCCTCAAACTCCTTCTTCACCCGCTGGTGAATCCCAATGGACCAACGATACTTTTGCTGTAACCAGAAAAAATAAAAAACGGATTAGTTCAATAATATTAATAATTTTAAATAATTAAAAATAAATTAACAAATTAAACTTACAGCGAACGATTTGAACCACGTTTTTTGTGTGGCTCGCCGTCATCTTCCAGTTTGGAGCTGGATCGGGAAAGTATCCCTTGATACAGTCCGTGATGCTAGATCCGACACAATTGTCAAGACCAAACCTGGAAAGACACAAAATAAATCATTAATTAGATTAATTTCTAAATATTTTGTTAGTTAAGAAATAAATTAAAAAAACTTTTTAAAAATTAAAACATACCATAATATGTTTTGGCCGTCCCGTCGGTAAGGATCTAACTCTGTCAGCCCTTCTCTGCCTGGAAGGGCCAAAATATCCTCCACCGTGTACACCGCAAAGGGTGCGTTCGGCTGCACCTTCAAATCGGGATGAACCCCGACCGGTGGAGGAGGAGGAGGAAGAGGAGGTGGTGGAGGAGGAAGAGGTTGCCGGGATGCCGTAGAAGCTCCTTGAGTCTCGGGAATCGAAGATGAACCGGGAGCTGACGAAGATGAACCCGGAGCATCCTGACGCCCAAACATATCTTCGCAGTGACTCCCCTCGAGAGACGACGTCCTCTTACCAGCAGCCTTAACAAGCTTGCTCTGTCTAGGCATCTATATTTTTTTTCAAAAAAAATCAAAACATTAATCCCGTATAATTTAAAAAAATAGTAAATAAAAGTAAACAAACCTAATCTAAATTACCTAAACTAACCACCTAATCTAAATTACCTAAACTAACCACCTAATCTAAATTCCCTAAACTAACCACCTAATCTAATCACCTAACTACGGATTAGAGAGAACCTTTAGAGGATTTAGAGAGAAGGTTACTAGCAAATGAGAAACCGGATTGCTCGAGTATATATAAGGAATTTTGTTTCCTCATAAAGTCTTAGTAACATTACTAAGGCTTTACGAGGAAATATCTATGCCCGTGTTTTTATTTCCTCGTAAGGTCCTCGTAATGGTTGTACTAGGGCTTTACGAGGAAAACCATTTACGAGGAAATAGCTATGCCCGCGTTTTTTCCTCGTAAAGCCCTAGTAACACCTTACTAGAACATTACGAGGAAATTGCTATGCCCGTGTTTTCTATTACTAGGGCTTTACGAGGAAAGGGTTTATAAATCCCTAAACTCGAAACCCCAAACCCCTGTGGGAACCGAAATCCACCTACTGTCAAATAATCGTAAATAAGGAAACTTCGGGAAAACCCTAAGTTTCCAGAGGAACCGGCTATCTACAGAACCGCACAACGAAGATTAAGATAACAAAAAAAACTTAGAAACTTTAAATGAATAAACGAAAATCGAGAGGAAAGAGGTTCTTATTCCGAATCTGCATAGAACTGGTACAAAGAGAGTAGCCAAAAACTTAAGAACGAAAAACCCTAATTGAGACGCAGCTCGGTAACAGAAAACGGTAAAATATTCCTAAATGCTAGTTTTGGTGGTGAGAGCTCTGAAAATCGTGTCCCTTGCTTCTGCCCTAGACCTCTTATTTATATACTCCTCGCCTTGGCCCTTAGGTCTTTCCATTTCGCCCAGATTTGACTATATAGGGAATTTTCCATTTTTCTCGATCCTTCCTTTTCTTCCGCGAAAATCTTCTATTTTTCTTCAAACCTTCCTTTTATCTTCAAACTTGACTTTTATTTTCCTTCTACGAGTAAACCGTCAAAACGT